AGATTTTTTTCTACGATTCCGATTTCAGCTCCGAGAAATTCCGAAATTCTTTATCAATGCCATTTGAAGATTAAGAATTCCGAACACAGAAGGGCTCATTTAACACCCTAAAAATATGCGCTTTTTAGGCTAAAAAAATCATATTTTTTCTTGAAAAAACGCAAGTTTATGAGTGTTATCGTCTTCAAACTCGCTGTTTTTGAATGTACAAAAAAAAACTCGTATTTTTACGAGTAACAATGCGGGTTTTTTTTATCAATTTTTCTGCTTGGGATGTTCTTTGTCTAAACGATTCAAGCACTGATAATGTAGACAGTTGCGGTACTTTGAACAATATTAATACCTCTTTTTGATTAATGTCGTTACGTTTTCATTTTAGTTGATTATTCAAACGTTATATCTAAACGGTGATTCATTCATTTTTCTTTCCTAAAGTTCACTATTATTAATCGATGTATTAGATATCATTATCCTGTATAGTTTTATTTACTAATATGAAGAATGAAGTTTTAGTATATGAAAAAGAAAAAGATTATCGGAGACGATTACAATTTGACTCTAACTCCAATTCCGAACATTTATTGTATTTTTCTTAATTTTAGATCATTTTCCGATTCAATTGTTTTCATGTAAGTGTTAAATTTGAATTATTTATATCTTTACTTTAGATTAGGGATTTAATCCTTACTTTACTAGATAAAATAAATCTAAAAAATGTTGATTTTTTCTCTATGCATGAAAAATGTTGTTTTCAAGGTTTATCAAGTAAAGTTAAACACTTTAGCTTACTTTACTTTTTAGACAGTAAAATAAGAATAAAATGCTACTCCTATTTTCAATCATTTTAAGAATTAATTCAACGCAAGTTTTTTCTTTAATTTTTAATTATTGATGATTTCTTTATTGTAGATCATCTTATCAATTATATTCAATAGAAGCAAAATATATTTTATTTTACTTATCCAGCTTGATTTCAATAGCGAAAGTCAATGGTAAGTAGATGCATAAAAACATATTTTTTATTTTATTTATTTAGATTTAGTCCAACAGCAAAATTCAATGGTATGTGAATTAATAAAAGATAAACCTTGATTTAAAAAATGAATATTTCTTCAGCATAGGTGAGAGAGGATTGATGGATGAGGCGTCCTCCTTCTATCTGTCTGTCTATTATAGCAATTGACTACGAAAAAATAGGATAAAATTTGGTACAGAATGTTGTAAGAAACTCTAGAAAATCATCCCTAAATCTTAAAAGATCTAACAGCAAAATCATACTAGAATCATACAAGTTTATATACGATTTTCACAAGATCTTGTATGATCACAAAAGATCATAAAGTAAGTTCGTATGTGATCTTGCAAGAGTCGTACAAAACCTTGCAGTTTGATTGTTTGATCTGCGTGCTTTTGTTTGCAGTTCTAATTTTGTCATCTTAATTGAAAAGAACTGAATATAGTATGATCGAGACTAGTGTGAGGAAGAAGAAAAAATATCTGAAACATATCGTATAATTGTTTCCATAAAGCTACTAAAAGTATTCAATAAGTCTATTCCGTTCTTTCAAAAGCCTCCAGGTCATAACGAGCTACAAAAAAGTGGCATGTTGGTAGGTCTGATATAGACAAGTAAAAAATATAGAATATCATATATTAGCCATTAGCATATCTATGAAGGTTGTATACGTTATATAATTTGATCTGATGCCATCGGAAAAATAGACGATTCTAATGGTTAACAATGAAGAATCACTTCCATTGTGAAAAGAATTGGATATTTATTATATTTTGAACTACTAATTTCGTATAATTTCGAAAATTTATCAGAAAGAATATAAGTGCAGTACTACCAAAAAATAATATGATTTTTATAAGAAAAATCAAGAAAGGTTATCAGACTTTTTTAATAATACATCAATATATTTATTGAATGGATTATTACAATTTCAAAAAATCTTATCATATTTCTTAAATAATACGAGTAATTCTAGCAATTGTCAGTATCCTAAATACTAAAATTTAAAAGATAAAATCTACTAGCATGATTTACTTGTATATTAATTAATAATATCAAATACTCAGAAATTTTTCTCTCATTTGTCAATGTCAGAAATCATTAATCTTATTCTCATTGACGACATAATCTGATAATCGATTTTTCAACAGTTGTTTTTACTTAATTAATAGACACTCTCGTTATTGTTGGAAATATTAGTATTGATATTGATAAAAATAATTCGATATAGAATGTTAAGAGTACCGAATACAAACTTTTGTAACTATAGAGTGAATAATTAAAATTATAAACGCTCATTACTCTCCGACCAGCAGTTCCTTGGTAAACTAGTATAAAGGCGTCACCCATGTTACTGCTACAGATAACAATGTTTTTAATAAATTTCATGATATATATGACTAAATTCTTGATTTAAATAGGAAATAGATTAAATAGAAAGAATATAGTGCGACGAAAAAAAAAACTAACTGTTTTATTGAATCATACGAAGAAAACTCTCAAAATAGAATACCTAAGTTTAATAATCCTTAATTTAAGAAATAGAATCAAAAGTGTCTTAATATATTCTCACTCTTATTTTTACAAGCGAATGTTATCTAAATTAAATCACTTGTGTTGAAAATTCAAAATATAACGTTACAATTATACAAACAGAGAGTTAGACAACTCTTTATCGACTTGTCAAAGGAGATGTCAATAATTGTTGATAATATATTGATTGATGAAAATAATCTGTTATATAATTATATATTGACAAAAAAAAGCTGTCCTCATTATTCTTCTTTGAAATATAAAGAGTATTGCAATTAGATAAGATAAACATATTTAAAATTAAACAAAAAAACAAAAGTTATCCGAAAAAGTAATTTGATCAATTAGAAAAATTTTGTATGTCTTTAGCAATGATCTATTCTATAAAATGCTTAATTTCTATTAAATAATTCAGAGAAAGAAAAAAAAAAAAAAAAAACTTAATTCTATCTATTTTGATTGATCTTTCTTTCATGATACAGTTACATTCAAGTATTCTAACACTAAAAACAAATATAAAAAGCTATATTGTAATTACTACATAGAATAAATATTATCCTTTTGAATAAAAGTTCAAATATAAACGACAATATACAAACTATTGATTGAATTATATATTCTATATAAAAAAAACTAGATAAGTTCTTTTAGAATTTTCTTTTTTATTCGTTATTGTTTTGTTAGACAAACAAATAAAACAAAAAAAAAAAATTGTTGATTAATATTTTTTTTTTCGCTTTATTCTTTTCTGTCAAGTAATTATCTTTTCATCTTGGGATTTCAAGTATCGTATGTTTAAAATATGCTCAAAGAAGTCAAGAGAGGAAGAACTGCTCTTCGGGCATAAATTTGTCATTTTATGACGTTTATAGTTGATCTGACGTGCTGTTTTTTCTTCCCTTAATGATACTTAAATGAGAAAAAAAAAAAGATAACAATTATTTCGAACTAGTAGTTGCAGATGAAAACAATTTGTTCTCTTTCGATGATTTTATCTTTAATCTATTGATATCAATGGATAGATTGAAATATACATGCATCAAATAGTAAGATTTCTGAATTTGTTTTGATCCAAATCATTTTCGATTAATTATTAACGCATCACATAATCATTTCTAATGTTTGATCCATAACTGAACAAGTGCATCGAACAACAACAATAGAAAAGGCCATTGGCAAATAGAACTTGCTGACATTTGTTAATTTTACTTGATGTTAGTGATATATGTCTATTGTTATTTTTTTTTTTTAATAAAGGATGATGATTAATTCTTCCAATATGTATTACTAGCATTAGAAATAACACAAATTTTCTCGAACCAAAAAGAATATGACAACGAAGAGAATAAAAACAACAATAATATCATCAATAGAAAAGAAGAAGATGAATCGTATTGATGATAATGGTAATGTAGCGGTAGTACCACAAGCATTTTCTAATTAATAATAGAAGGCCAACTTGTTGGTCTTGACAAGCAAAGGAAGAAAAAAAAGAAGCAATACGTTTCAAAATGTCTGTCGCCGCATTTCTCTGCTTTTCTCATAACCATCCTCCCAAAAGTCTCTTTCTCTTCGATTGATGACTCATAAATACACGGAAAAGACGATGACGAGAAAGCAATGTGGCATTCTTTCGCATCGTTAAGCAATCGTGATGATAATTCGCACAATGGACGACTGCCATAGTCAAAATAACATCAATAATAAGACAAGAAAAACGACAACGTATGCTTGGACGCTAAATAGAAGAACAAGTTAAGTGTTGTTAATACGATAACAGGTAAATACCATTAGAGCTAATTTATTTAGTTATTTAAATAATAGGGTTTTTTTCTGCTGAAGCATAATATTTGTATTCATTCACATTGTTCGTAATCGAAGTTTTGTCTACTCATATAAAACATATTGGTACTTGCAGTTTCCGAGAAACAATTTTGTTTCATACGGGAATAGTAACAAATATAAAAGACAAAAAAAGAGAATTCCCTTTTGTGGCTTATTCTCTACCTGCTATCCTCTTTCTTTTTCATTTAGTTTTGGCCCTAACAGCATCGTTCAACAAAGCACATAGTTACGTTTGTCACTCATCAATGCTCGTCGTCAATTTAGATATATATATATATATATGTGTATGGTGTGCGTGTACGTTCATAATAGAGTTGTAAAGATGATCGATGCGGCGAATTGTGGTTTTTTCTATAGAGCATTGATAATCTAAACAACAACGGTATTCTCGCTTCCTTGCTTATTCATTCGCTCTTCTGTTCCTTCTTTTTTTCTTCATATACGTGAAAAGACTAACTGTTAGATAGACATTCAATGAACAAATTTGTTCTTCGTATGTGAACACATATATATACTATCTGTTTATCATATTTATTCATATTCATTAAATACTATTCAAGAAAACGATTATTGTCTTTTTATGATACATTCCATCAAGTTAAATCAAATGATCGGGTACGTATTATATATTGACAAACATATATTGAGCGATAGGAAATAAAGATAAAATGATAGTTTGAGATAACATCATTCTCAACACTATGAATATTTATTAAATCTTGTCAATCAATAGATCATTATTTTATTCTTTTTTTTTTTTTCTATCTAGTTATTCAATTCTCCTTCTTTTTCTTCTCTTACCATCAAATATAATTGCCTCGGTGATTTATAAAACTGCTTGTGAGTTATTAAAACTTCCACGTGATTGTTATTGTCAACGTACACGCGGTGTACCAATGTCCTCATTAAATGAAACACGATTACGATGTCATCAATTCACTAAAATAACAACAGATTATCACTGGTCTATTGTACCCTATGATCGTTTAGCATTTGAAACACCAAATGATAATTTAACATTATATCGTTATGCATTTGCTGATATTCGAGCACGAACATTACGTTTTAATGTTCGAAATCTAACTTTCAATGATCATGCATTGGAAAATGCTTATATTGGTCAATTAGCTATTTCATATACAGATAATTATGGTTTATTAAATTTTGAATTAAATGGACAAATATTTTATGGTACAACAATAACAAATATATATATTAAATTAATTAATTTTCAAACACAAATATCTGAACTTGTATTATCAAATGCGAAAGTTTATACATTATTGATTGAATCATCGAAATTTTATGGTTTTACAAATAAAAAATTTGTACGTTATCAACAAAATGAAACAAATCATAAAAATAATAATCAATATGATAATTTTCTTGAATATGATACTATATTAACAACAAGTTCATTATATCAAACAAGTAGTCAATCATCACTATTAAAAATTCGTCGAATGAAAAACAAAATTTTACGTCAAATATTTGAAATAAATGATAATAATTCATTATTACCTGAACAAACTGTTATAGTTAATATAACAGCAAATCCTCTTCCGGCTTTTATAACAATTTATACAATTCTATCCAGTATTAATACAACAAATTTAACAGAAAATTATTTTCCAAATAATATAGAATATAGTCAAACAGATGAAATTGAATTAAGTCATAATTATATTTATTCAATAGATGCACATGCTTTTCGTCATTTACAATTCTTTGAAGGACGACTAATATTAACATATAATTATATTCGACATATATCTCCGTATGCATTTACTTATTTACATTCATTAAATAATTTATCATTAGCTAATAATTATATTCAAAATTTATCATCAATACATTTTGAAAATTTAAATCAATTATATGAACTTGATTTAAGTTATAATCAAATATGTCATTTAAATAATAATACATTTCAATATTTACATAATTTGCATATATTACGTTTAAATAATAATCCATTAAATTTTATTGATTCAAATGTATTTATAAATTTAACTTATTTAAAAGAAATACATTTACAAGGTGTACCATTAATTCAATTAATTGATCCACAAAATTCACATTGGATTTGGAATTTAGCTAGTTTACATATGAATTATTTACTTAATACAAAGTAAGATTTATATGAAATAAAAAAAAAATAAAAAGCCGATTTTTGTTTTATTTTGACAAAAGGAGAAATAATCTTATCCTCAAAAAAAAAAGAACAGTTGTTTTATTACATTTAGCTACACAAATTAAACATGTCGTTTATTGACTATGTCATGAGTATTTGTGGTCGATTTACGGTACAAGGACATATTATTTACCAGCTAATAAATATCTTGCTTACTACATAGATCTCTATATTATGATTAAAAAAAAGCAACTTAACAAGCATAAATGACTGCTTAATACATATATAGAATACTTTTTCTCATAAGAGGTTAGAACAGGATATGAATTCCATCGAGAGGAATGAAATAATGATAGGTTCCAATGACTCCGACGAATAAAGCTCGACATAAAGTCTGAGATCATATATATATATATATAGGTTGTCGTTGAAATTTATTGGTGCATAAGATACATTTAACAATAGTATTTCTTTTTATTACCGAATATTATAAAGAAAAGAGTACAAATGAAACTATTCTAATAATGAATATATGGTATTAGAAATATGAATACTATATATATACACACTACAAGATATTTCTTTGATTGAATTTATAGTTTTTTTTTTTTATAAACAAAAAAGAAAAATATTTTTCTAATCTATTGATATTATTCTTTTTCTTTCGTTAGAAAAAACATAATGATTAGCATAATTTATAAATCTTAATAAAAAGAAAATTCTCAAAATAATCTCGATAGACATATTTTTTTCTGTTGACAACAAAAGTCGTTTTCCGAAATAGGAAAATCTATAATTGATTGATGGCTTCTAACAAAAGAATGAATACAACAAACGTATGTAACTAATATTCTATATCAAGAAACACTATTGACATCAGGATAATGTCCTATATAAATGAAAAGAATATTTAAAAATAATTCTTTTTGTTTTTTCTTTTTTTTCTAGTTATGTTTTGAGTGATTTGATTTTTTGTTTATTAACACGTTACAATCAAACATTTTCTCATGTATCACGTCAACCTTCATGTTCATGTAATGTTCATTATTTATATCATCATTCTGATATATATCATAATACAAATTCAACAATAAAATATCCTACAAATTATTTACGTGTAACACCAATATGTATTTTAAATGAAACAATATCTAATTTTGAACAATATCAAAATGAAAATGAACAAATACAATATTCAAATAATACATCGTTTATTCTTCGAAGTGGAGACGATAAATGTGATTATAAATTAATGTTTCTTGATTGTGATACTATGACAACAACGACAACAACAACAACAACAACAACAACAACAACAACAACTACTACTACTACTTCTACAGAAATGACAACTACATTAGAAATGATATCAACTGCAGAAAGTCTTATTTATACAACAACAGAAATTCCATTATCAACAACAACACTATGGTTTGTTTTCATATATTATTAATATTAAAGAAATAGATTATCAATTGTCTTTTTTTTTATCGTGCTTTTTTTCTTAGGTATTTTAAATATACTAAACCACCTAGACCAGGAAATAATCCAAAGAAATTATTTATAGTACTTGGTACATTAATAGCAATAACAGCTGGTGCAGTTATTTTTGTTATTTGTTGGTATCGTCTTAAAGCAATATATACACGAAAAGAAAAAAGAAAAAAAAATCTTGAACAACCAAAAAATTTTAATTTATCATCACAGAATAATAATTCTCAGTTAACGGCACCACGTTATGCTTCATCCGACTTGTTAAGTGGTGTATATAGTACACCGTTAGCTGGTAATGCAACTCAATCACAATCATTAATTGCACCGGCATCACCACCATCGATCGTTTATAAAAATGTCGATGCTTTAACTGATGATTCTATTCACAATTATATTGATGATGAAAATCAACAGCAACCACAAAATTCAACAAATGATAAAATGACAGAAATACAAGCAACTACTCAATGTTAAATATTTTCAAATGAGTCTATTGTATTCGTTTTTCTTTTCCTTTGTGTGTGTGCTTTTCTCTGAAAATTTAATAAAATGATTAATATAAAATATTTGATATTTTATTTGTGAATGTTAGAGATTATTCATATTGTAAGGTGAAGGAAATGCAAAATTCTAGTGAATTTTTTTTCTCTTGGATTTGTATATGATTTGATAGATCTTGTTGGGATGGTCACAAATATGTAGTCTTTATTTCGATTCGATACACTTTTTGGTTTGAAAAGCATTAGAAAAACTCGAATGACTCAATATGTAGCATTCAGAATTATGAACTCTCTTTTTTTTTTCATAGAAATTATTAAATTTCAATTACGGTATTTTCTCTAACTTTATGAAAAGATTTTATTCTGATTTAGCATAAAAAATTGAGTAGGAAAATGTTATTTGTTTAGATTTAGAATCAATACGACTAAAAAAAGTCCTGTTCAATATAGATTTTTGTAATCCTATCTCATATCGGCTCCAGAAGTCAGTGCACTCAGATGTTTTTTTGAATAACATTTGATAGGAACAAGTTAGAGACCTGCAGTTTTCAGCAATCGATAAAAGATTATAGGGGACACATTTTTATATAAAAGCCAAAGTTTAAATAATGATGCACGATTAGAGTGATTATTGAATCACTAAAAGAATAGGCTCGTTATTTGGTGAAATCTCAGCAGAATAAGCTGAAACTTTCAGCATATGTAGCTCCACAGTAGTCCAATCTTTTCTAAAAATATCATCGATAGATCTTGTAATAACGAGGAATTATGTGCTAATCATCATCTGGTCTTACATAAAACTCTCATTCACTCAATATATGAGAAAATGATTTCAACTTTTGACTGAATAAATGCCATCACCTAGACTTCATATTTATGCAATAACATTGTAGTTTGGCCGTAGAAATGCATGGAAACAGCCAAAATTCGACGAAGAAATTATTTTTGTATAGTAAGCATTTTAAAACAAATCTTCCCAACTTTATCAAGAGAAATGCAGAACTCAGTAATGTTTTCACTTTCTCTTCTCGTTCATATAATCAAACAACGATATAATTGCATAGATATGAAGTCTAGATGATGGTATTTATTCAGTCAAAAGTTGAGGTCATTTTCTCATATATAGAGTGTCTAATAAGTCATGAAATAGACATACGAAAAATTGAATATCTCCATTATAGCTTGACCAAACGGGCTCATTCTTTTTTTTTACCAAGGATAGAGGCATGTTCACACTCCAAATTCATACGGACAAGGTCAGTAAGAACCTTTATTAAATACCACTATTGGTCTCAACAAGGAAATTTTACTTGTTCACAAATAGGAAAAGAAAACGATGTGCTCACCATAGGTTCTCACTAATCTTGCCCATACAGATCTGCAGTATGAACATGCCTCTATCTTTGGTAAGAAAATGAACTCGTTTTCTCGAGACATAATGGAGATATTCAATTTTTAGTATCTGTTTCATGACTTACTGGACACCCTATAGATCAAATATATAACAAATAACATGTACGTGTAAAACTGTTTATAATGGAGAAACTAAAGTTTCACTAGAAAAACGTATGAAACAACATATAAGAATAATTGAACAACATGGTGAAATAACAAAATCGGAAATGCTTGAACAGTATCGTAAAAATAGATACAAATGTATGTTGGGATCAACTAAAGCATTCAGCGTTGATGATGAAATCAACTTAAAGAAAAGAGTCAATCTATTCGACCACCAATAATGTAATTAACCAACATAATGAACTCGATCTATTGTGGCACACCTATTATATGCATCATCACCAATGATAAAGAGAATCATCAATATAAAAAAGTGAACGACCAAACAATTATCCATTACTGGGAAGTAAGACGGCGAAAGTAGGACGGAGGAAGAAGATAAATAGTCAATAAATCGTTTCAGTATCACCGTCTCGTCGTCTTACTATCATATGTTTAAAAACAATATGGCAAGAGAGAGAAAGTTAAAGAAAAAAGATGTATATGTGTGTGCTTATGTTTTCAAACATAAATATATTTAGCCCGATCAAGGCAGCATTGTGGCAGAAACGTAACGAACAAAGAAATAAATAAACAAATAATATCAATATTAAGGAAGAGCTAGAAAAATAAACACTTTAAACAAATTTCAATAGTTTACAACGAAAAAGAATATACAATTTAATTGAGGGTAGGTATTGATGGAGTGAGGTGTGAATGAGCCTAGCTATCCTTATTATGATTTGACCCTGCTGAGGAATCTTCTGACGGCTTTGACAATATACATGTTCTAAACAATTCGAAAATCATCAACAAGGATAACAGTCCTAAGATTAAAAAGTAGAGTGTACATGAATATTTGAAAATAGACATTGAAATCAATTTAAGCAGATATGTGTAGATTGAGTATTTTTTTTATTATAGTGATAAGCGCGTACAAATGTAGGTGTTGAAATAAAGATCTATAGGGTTGCCTTTTTTGAGAGTCATTCTATCAATGAAAATACGAGATGACCTGTGTTCGAATAGTATCAGAGGTGGAAGAAAATGTTGCAGTAACATTTAAATATTATTTCATCGCCACAAACCACAACGTTCAAGAGCATCACAAGGGACAAGTCACAGCGTATATTGTGTTTGCAATAGATATCAATCACACCAATTCTCGTGAATGTGCGATGCGATTTTTGATGTGAGCGGTGGGACTATGTATGTGACGACGATAGAATAAGAATCAATAATTCTGTCGAATCAAACTTCGGTGAGCACTTCATCTGCTTGCTCGAAGTTTTTTCTTTAATTCGGGATTAATTGTTTTGCCATTATTGTCGTGATGAGTACCAAAATGACTGTGGAGCAAAATAAGACCAGTCAAATCGTGCGACAAAGAAACCACTCGATGTTCTATAGCATTAAATTTTGATTGGGTGGATGCGCGAATAAGGACGAGCAGTGCATTGAGATTGTGGATTTCGAAGATGTCAATAGAAGAAGTGAGTATTTTTGGAAAGCGAGGAATTTACATCAAATCCGCTGTCGATGGTGATAATTTCGCTATAGACATCTTCCCTTTCAATGAATATGCTTCGAACTATTGTTTAATGAGCTCATCGTTTGAGTTATTTTCAGCTTATTCGATGCTTGGTAACTTGTAGATTTTCTAGAAACTGACACAAATCACCTCCTAATAAAGAGAATACAAGAGATTTGATTTGTTTTACTTCTTTCTCCAACGTTCGATAGTCTTGGAAGAAGACATCTACAAAATGATTTGTACTTCTCTGTATTTCTAGAAGCCATTTCTTATTAGATACGAGTATATCGAGCTGAAGAGTGTTGAATTTGTCCAAAACTTGTTAATTCTGTGTAAACATCTGATGAAGCTTTCAACTTGACCAACTCAGTCTTTCGTATTTCATAGATCAAGCAAAACTGACAATTTTTCGTGAATTCGACATTTCATCTCTTATAACTAGAATGTAATAGATGCTTGAAATTTTCATTGTGAATAGAACTAAAAGAGAATGTTTTCATCTAAACGTTCGGTTCTGTAGAGCTGGCTATTTGCCCAAGAGATTCTCGGCAAAATCGCGTTTATGCCAAAAACTCCGATTTTCGGTCAGATTTGTCTTCTGAGCAATGCTGTTAATATTCAGATCGATGCTTGCAACGTAAAAGTACTCTCGTTGAGTCGTCCTCCAATAGGAAAACCAGCATGGCGTCTCCAGAAACGGCCTAGAGAAACGACCATCGGTGGGGAGTCAAAACGGAGGTAGATGATCCTTCCCTTGCGATTGCAATAACTGTCGAAAAGAAGGAGGCTAGATGAGCTCCTTTTTTTATGGATCACAACAGATAGAGTGCATTCGTACCTATTTAGCATCAAAGTTGAGTGCTGACCATGTTTTTCGAGTTAATTTACTGAAAACTCATCTTGAGGTTTTTTGCCCCTTTGTCCTCCTCCGCAGGTATCTTCGAAAAGTCATGTTTCACAAAATCATTTGAAAACCATATGAACTTGTAAACACAAGCTTCGTAATTAAGAATATCGCATTAAGAGCGCATCAAATTCGTTTCCTGCATTATTGAGGTAGAGTTCTTTATAGGTTGAAAAATCAAATTTTCACCTCTCTCGGACATTAAGAAAGTGCCCTATTTCTGCAAAACACATCCTATCCGATCGAGTTTATTGAGCTCTACACGAACCCCACTATTCAATCAAGAAGGAGAATTGAATCCGAAAGATAATCAGTGATTTAGAGGCAAAAAACGACTTATTAATTTTTCATGGGATTGTTTGCACGGGATTTGACCTTGAAGCTAGTCTGGATGCGGAACCATTTTTTATGAAAAATGTAACTTTGTAAGAGCTATTGCTCATATTAAAATAATTGCATTATTTTCCTTGTTGTCGATAACACATATGTTTCAAATTTCTAATAATATGAAAGATTCCAACTTTCCATTCCGAAGAAAAAAGGAAAACTATTTTGAATCTTTTCAAACAATTTGATGATCGTTGTTCAATCTCATCCCAGAAGAAAATTCTTAATACATATTCGGAGAGAGTGAAAAACCTTTGGCTCTAACTAATTGCTTCTGACTTTTACTCGTTGTCTTTAAATGACCATAAATTGGGTGTAATGATTACTTTCATTGTCTTTTAAGCATAAATTTTTGTACATTAGAAAAGTTTTCAGCCATAATTCAATATTTTAAATGAGAAAAACATTATCTTCAAAAATAAATAAATAAATAATTCTTTTTCTTGTAGTTATGACAATTGAAAATATATGTTATTGATCGAAGAGAAAGTTAAGTTTTGATAAATTTACTTCACCAAACGAAAATTCATATATTCATATGATTTTCCTATGCGAAGGATGTTCTATTTTAGATTTCTAAATAATTTTGTTTGCTATTCACATTTAACTCCGTAATTAATCTTCAATAAAAATCGGTTTCTGTCTCGTTTAAATACAACTACTATATTTCGAAAAAAATCACAAGAAAAAATGTATGTTATCTAGCAATCAATGTATTTGACTATTTATTCGTCCTTCATAGTTGGTAAATACGAATTATCTCATTCGATACAGTCGTATAACTTTAGAAAAATGATCAAACATATGTCACTTTCAATCTTTCTTGTAGAAATTGAAATGTTTATTTACTATAGTAGTATGTTATTTATCAGTCCGATAAATAAGAGTTTTGTTAGTATTTATGTTTATATCAATTTTGCCCTTGTTTCTTACAATCACTTGTGACGTATGATTATTATGACCATGAGACATTCATTTTATTGATAATCAAAATATTATGATATTGACATCAACCAAAGTTAATTATAACGTATTTGTTTTTGTAATCATTGGCTAGTCAATTACAGTTGTAAAAATAAAATATTATCGTCTAATCATCCATATAGACTTTAAGAACTATTTTTACTTTTCAATACAATAGAAACAGTTGTTATCAATCTTATACAAACAGTGACTAATTCTCTTGATATTACTCCTATATATTTTCATATCGACCACATAAGAAATTCATTAATAGTTATATATCATTTTGTTTTGATAGTCTACAATGAATGAATTATACTGTTTCTAAAATTATATAACCTTCATATATTTAACTAATTAATTTACAAGTATTCTTTAACTTTTTATAGAAAAAAAAAATTAACTTGATATGCATAAATTGACTATCTATCAGGTTTAATTGTTGACGTTTTTCCAACTATATGTTGTTCTAAATATTTTGAAATTTGGTCTTTAAATTGTATTTAATTGGTCCCATATTACTATTTGTCTTATTTTGATTAGTCTATAAAATAAAAATGTAATGAATATATATGTAATTTAACAGCTGACTATAAGACGGATGAATTATATAGAATCAAATAGTTATAGAAAACAGTAATACAATTGTGTCTATCTTTTATTTATAAAGTAAATATGTAAACGAATATGTATAATCTGATTGTCTTTTTTCTTCATTTATATTCAAAAAATAAAAAAAAAAAGAAGATATATGATAATTTGTAATATTAGACGCAATGTCATCTATTATCATAATCATAATTGATATTGAGTAAGACTTTAGAGAATAGAAACGATTGAATTAACTATTCCTTGTTCACATTAATACGTAAGTAACTGTTTTAGCATAAATAAATTTTTAATTAAAATATCTAAAAGATTCGTTTTTTTTTTCTAATATATTTGTATTTATAATAATAACAAGAAAATTTATTTAAACACAAAAAGAAAACATTGCTCTTGTTTAAATGTCATTTCATAAAGATATTTTTTAATCTAACTTAACATTTCATATTTCATTAGTAAATTTCAAAAGATGAAAATTTCTTTTTTTCTGCATGAAAATACAAAGAAAAAATGGAAATGATTATGGCTTCGATTTTCTCTTGAATTTATTCATTTAGACAACTTTCTGCACTTAACTGTTGAAGTTTTTTTTCTTTGTTAAACGATGATAAAAAATAAATCTAAAGGAGCAAAATCGATTAATAAGCATTATAAAATATCAGGTTTTTACCTTGCGTATTTTTTTCGATTTCGTTTTCTTGCTTCGACAATACATTGATGTGTATATACAATTAAACAATGAAGAAAAAATAAATGGATATTAGTCGTATTATTTGTTTATTCTATAAACGTATTAGATTTTTGAAATATGACGACAATGCATCTATTCATTTTCAGTAAGAGTTGCAGTCCTCAGGCTTTTGTATTGTTCTTTATTAAACTTTTGGGTATGATTGTTGTTGTTATTGTATAAAATAAGAGAGAACGAAAAAACAATAAGCAGTGGAGATCCATTTGCATCATTTTATTTCAATGAACTTCTATTAATCAAACTATAGACGACACTTGATGATATAACCAAATTTCATATATGTGTAGGTAGTTTTCTTTCTTTTGTGTTGTGTATGTTGTATTTTAATTCAAACATTGATCACAATTTGATTTAGTTCATTTGTTAAATTTATTTTGTCTGTTTGTAATTGTATGAAGGCGTTGTTCTATTATAATTGTAAGTTAAATCTATTCTTTTCTAATCAATCAGTAAGTGCGTTTGTGTGTGTGTGTGTCTGTATACAATCTAGTGCATTGATCTCTATTTGTAATCTTACTAGTTAATATTGCCGGTGTCCTCCGTCACTGCTATATCATTCTCTTGTTAATCCTCAACAAATGAGACAGGCATAGAAGGCAAAAAGAAAGACATTGTCCATTGAGGATAAAACCAATCGTCTTCTCAAGTGTCTTTTAAAGCATATATATATATAGAGAGAAAAATGTATGCATAGTATGTGAGGAAGAGAAACTATTCTATTTAAATAGTGTCATCTTCGTTCTAACGTACTTGAGATTCGTAGATTTGCATTCATTGTTGATGTGTCTAGACAGGAGATATATAATAGAAAGCAAAAAAAAAAGATAAACGTGAGAAAACATTTTTGAAATTTTCTTAAATATCAGTTTTTTTTTTCGTATTATTGACTTTCATTTAACACTTACGTGTTATCCATTTATCTTTTGATCTTTTTTTGTTCATTGACACGTTTCGATTATAAATATGAAGAAAAAAAATACGATTGACCTTATTTTTTCATACATGTATATATATATAGATTTATATTCTTTGCACATTACTTTTTTTTATCAAAAACATTCTTATTTCTTCTTTACTACATTTAAAAACGAACATTAACAGTTTTGTTTGAGTCAAATTTCAAAAGTATGACTGACATACATAGTAGTAAAGAGGAAGAATAATAAGCATTGTCGTATGTCTATTTGCTTCGATGCAAAGCAATTCCAATTTATGTATCATGTTTTTTTTTTTTGTTAAATGTATTTAAGCAGACAACAGTTGATCATTGCTTTCTTTCTTTTTGTTTTTCATTCTTTAGATTTTTATTAATCATTTATAATGACATCTTGTTCAAACTTAAATAGAATTGAATGCCAATCAAATACAAAGGTATGATTGTTATATAGTTGATGTTTTTTAATCAAGAAACAACTGTTAGATATTAATCATTATCATTTGATATTGTTTTATTTCTTTTTATTTAAAGAAAACTTGGAAATAAATAATAAAGAATTTGTCATATTTAGATTTGCAAAAAACAAAATTGAAATAGAAAAACTTATTTTAATTTGATAAGCATTGAGTTATAATAAAATAAATTTTCTCGAAAAAAAAAAACTAATTCTTTCCTTATTTCTAACAAAATTGAAATGATAATCAAATAAGATATACATCGATTTTTTGACAAAATTCCGGTATTTAATGAATCATTCAATTTGCATAAATCATAAAACTAATCGATATGGTATGCATTATCCTATCCTTTTTTTTTCTTTGCTACTCATTACTGCTACCTAAGAAACATTAACTGTATGTATTGTCAAGGTCGAATGCTCATATTAATGATAGGAAGAAAAAAAAAAGAGACGTTGACGATCCATCTTTCATCGTTTCTTCATTTCTTATACGTTTATATGCTGAGCCCTGAGATGGGAGCGACCAAGAGAGAGAGAGAGAGGGGTGGAGCGATGGCAAAACCATCGAACGAATGTGTGCGCGTGTTATAAAAGATAACCTTCCATTACGCTCTCTCGCTTTTTTTGTGTGTGCGTGTGCTCTCTATCATCGTTCTTTGTGTGTGTGTGTGTGGTGCGCACAAGTACCCGAACACGTACTACGTACTATATCATACTTCTTCATCAAGTAATGGCGCACATTAACTAAATGATGCACGCTTTTGCATATTCTAGGTCATAACAGTTCCAATATCAACAAGTAAAAAATTCGTTGAACCATTCAATCGTCTTAAAAATCGAGGTAATTTATTTCGTCGAAAAAATTATTCATCTCAACTTAATTTAAATTCACAATCAAATAATAATCGATCATCTTCAAATACTGATCATATTGTTCCATCACATGACTTATTAATAACACGTTTTAATAATACGGGTGATATTATTCTTAAACGTTCAAATTCTATGATATGTCCACAAAAATATTTACAAACATTTTTAAATCACAATCAAAATAATAATAATAATAATAATAATATAAATCATCGTAATTCAATTTGTATTGAATTAACTGGTTGTTCAACAGACGAAAGTTCAACAGACGATTATCAATTAATTAAATCATCATCAAATTGTTATTGGTCTAAACCAATTTCATCAAAAATGAATGATATTGATGAAAATGAAATTCTATCATCTGATCAACCTTGTACTATAATTGAAGAATCCAATATTAATCATAATAATGAAAATGATCAAGAAGAAAAAGGTAATAAATAAAACAAAAAAATATTTTGTCACCGTCAATCATTTTATATTCTAGTCAAACAAATAGCTATATACAATTTGTTTCTTTTCTATTGTTTTTTCTTTTTTTCTTTTTTTTCTGTGTTCAGTATTGTCATCATTACCCAACAATAATAACAACAGTGAACATACGTCTAGCATTCTTCCATTATCTCAGTCAACTATGGATGTTATTATAAGAGAAAAAGAAGATAAAGAAAAACAACAAGAACAGATATCTTCTATGACTATTCCAACTTCTATTATATCTTCATCTCATTCATCATCATCGTCGTCATCGACAGTTATATTACGAGATCATGCTGAAACAATTCGTACACGTCGTCAGTGTCATTCAAGTATATCTCTTTTACAACATCAGCAACGGCAACAAGCTTTATCAATATCATATGAAGAACCATTTTATGATTGTAAACAACAAATATTAACAAAAAAATCGAATCAAAATTTAGATATGTCTTTAACTAAAATTTCAATATGTACAATGACTGGTAGATCATTAAATAATCTTGATGAATCTTTATCAACAATATCATCAGAAGAAAAAGGTGTACAAACAACATTAAATGAACCAATAAATACTAATATTTGTATTAAACGAGCCATTTCTTCAACTAGTTTATCATCATCATCAACATCAATGCAAACCGATTCACTTGAAAAAAAACCTAAAATGCCATTATCAACAACAATTGATGAAACAACATCAACTAATGATATCGATACATCAACACATTTAAATATTCAATATCAAACTGAACAACATTATAAATGGCCACATATACATGAAAGATTACTTGGTGAACAAGCATGTATTTATTGGGTTAATTATTTAGGTAAATAAATTGAAATTCTATTATCTTAAAATAAAATTTGAGATATTAAAAGAGGAAAAAGAAATTTTATCTAACTAAAATTTACATAAGTTATCAACTGTCGACAAACTATTTATGATACTTAAAGTTACGGATTAAATAGAGGTCAAACAAAGAAAAGTCTTATCATCTCTTAGGTACACAGTATAAAATTCAAAAAAAAAAAAAAAGATTATACTACAATTAAATTATAATGAATTTA